TGGGGTTAGAGAAGAAGATGCTTTGGAAGGCAGATAGTGAACTGCACTGACTACTAAGCAGCTACACAAGGTAACATATTTCTGGGAAAGGAAGTTTGCAACCTCCAAAGATTCACTGTTTGGATTCCACTCTGCTACTACATAGTGCAAAGGATCTTTCTGCCTTCAAATCCAAAGCATTATACAGCTCACTTTTTAGAATTCCTTTGGGCCACAACAGAGGTGGGTTGCCAGTTTTTCTGCTACCAGTTCGGGCATGCTCCTGTGTGCACTTCTGCGTGTGTGTGATGCTTTTGTAGATGCTGAGCCTCCCGCCGCTGCTATTACCAGTTCACCTGATCCAGGCCGAACTAGGAGCAACCCACCTCTGGGCCACAACTACCACAATCAGAGGTGGTATTCAGCAGGTTCTAACCAGTTCTGGAGAACCGGTAACAGAAATGTTGAGTACTTCGGAGAACCAGTAAATTCCACCTCTATCTGGCCCCACCCCCATCTATTCTCTGCCTCCCGAGTCCCAACTGATTGGGAGGGAATGGGGATTTTGCAGTAACCTTNCATTTTTACATGCTTTCAAACTGCTAGGTTGGCAGAAACTTGGACAAGTAACGGAAGCTTACTCCATTACGCTGCGCTAGGGATTCGAACCACCAAATTGCCGACCTTTCTGAGTCTTAGCCATTGAGCCACCACGTCACTTGTGCTAAAATAAAAGTAAGGATAAAATCCTTACACTTGGTCTAATCTACATGCAGCCATTCATCTTTTCTAGCAATCTTATTCCATTATATATGAGATAGGATTAATGAAAAAAATTAATAAAGAGCAAAATATAAAATTGTTCTATTTATGACATTAGACATAACATCAGCACCATGAATTAACTCAGCTTCATAGTGGGCAAGATGAATTTATCTTTTGTATACTTCCCAGAGTACAATTTGAATTGGGTGGCCATAAAAAAAAAATGCATAACATTAAAGCAAGATGAGAGAGGAGGGAGCAGGATTTTCTTTGAACACAATTCTCTGTAGTAATTAGCAAAGATATAGAAAATACAGCTGTTTGCACAAAATGTGTAGCCAGGTGCTTGGAAACCATATTTCCCAAACCATTGTGATAATTTTGGTTTCATTATTATACATAATTTACATAGCATTGTTTGGGATACAACTCATCTCTTATTCATACTCCAGTGAGACAGGTTACTATTGTATGTGTTTTTGCTGCTGGAAACAGGCAAAAATAACAGTAATGTAAGGAATCTGTGATTGAAAAACACACATTTAAAAATCTAAACACAGCACACTGGATGACTTGCAGGCAATAGCTCGGGCTCTTTATCAAGAGTTTTAATTCATTCTATACATCTCTCCCAAATAGTGGTTCCTCATTAGATAGGCATTGGGGAAAACTGCTCCCACAGCCGTGCAGCAAATATGTTAACTAAGATAGGTTGGAGAAGAGATCAGTCCCATTAGATCCAAATGGTTTTCTACCCAAACTACGAATCCACCAAACAAATACAGGTGCAAAACAACAGCTCAGTCAGGAAGAATCTATCCGTAAAGCACAATATCTCTGAGCTCAGCTCATGAACCTCTTATGAGTACAATTCACTCAAAAATCTATTCTTGGATTTCCCTCAAGGGTTTTCTTTCAGCAATTCAATCTAGTATGACAAGAATCTACTAGTTATTCCTATTGTTGGAATTTGGGGGCTGGAAACTATTGCCAATTACTGCCTATCATCTAGGGAATTATAACTCGCCTTTGATTTGCTTTCTGCCCAGCTAGTGATAGTTCTGGTTGTTCAACTACAGCTTCCATCTGCAGAAGTAATTCACTATATATTTTTTAAAAGACGCAATTATGGCAAACAAGTTTATCATATAGTACATTACACCCCAGAGCAGGTTTTTGTTGCACCTCCCTGGTGAATATGCTTTACAGTAAACTTTGTCTATGTATAATAAAAAACTTATGTTACTTCAATCAATGGTCAACAAATTACGCAAAATACTAACTGAAATGGAGAAACAGCAGTGTTCACACCTGCATCAATCGTTTCTTTGGCAATACAAAATTTAGCTACCATATGAACAATACTTTCATATTTGGGAAAAGGACGTTCCCATAATACTTCCCCATTCTTTCTGGATATCGAAACAGTAGAAGTAATACAACATTATTTCTAAATATCCCTACAGAAGTTACAGAATCAGAACACAAGATTTATATAGTAAGTCTGAATTAGCTAGAAGCTGCATTTGCTTTCTGCATGTAAGTGGATGTTTTCTTTACAGGGCTTACACCCGGAAATCTCTCCCTCTTTTATACATAAATATCACTATATATATTCTGAGGTATGAAATATTATGCATAATTCAGAAGAAGAAATAAGGCAGTAAGGAAAGTAAGTACTTATTTTGGCATTTAGCCTTACATTTATAGAACATAGAATGATAGGGTTGGAAGGAACCTTGGAGGTTTTCTAGTCCAACCCCCTGTCCATGGCAGGAGATTCTATACCATTCTGGACAAAAGGCTGTCTAGTCTTATGTTGAAAACCTCCAATGATGGAGCACCCACAATTTCCGGGGGCAAATTGTTTCACTGATTAGTTGTTCTCACTGTCAGGAAATTTCTCCTTTGTTCTAGGTTGGGTCTCTCTTTAATCAATTTATATTGTGTTTCTTCTGATATAGTTCCATAGTGGGCAAAAGCATGCTTTTACACATAATCATTTTTGCTTCTTTTAAGTATCCATTTCATATAACAGACTGCATAGTACCCATTATATCTGTGATAGTATTTGCAAGCCCTAAAATGTACCAAGCTATCTTTTCCTCACATTTATTAAATAGTCCACAAAGGCACACAAATTCGTCTACTTCCCCTTTTGTCATTAACATATAACTTGCAAATGTTCACTTAATTTTCCCTGTCAAACTCAACAAGGTCTTTGATGCCTTCATTTTCATTTCCATGCTCCTTTATGCCTCATATAATCTATCTAACATTTGTTGCAAACAATTTGAATTCTCAGCCAAGAACACAGGATCATTTGCATATAAAAGTATATATGCATTTATGTCCCTAACTAAGACATGTTTACTGTCACTGCAAGCACTCCATATATTTACCCCTAAAAAACATTAAACAATTAAGTAGATACCTTACATTCTTGACTTATTCCCTGTTCAATGCTGAATCATTCACCAAGCATTCCATTTATTATCATGCATGTTTCACTTCCATCATATATCACTCTTATTGCATTCAGCAACCATCTTCAGCTCTATACTCATGCAAAACGTTCCATAATTCAAGCCTATTCACTTTCCCAAGCACATAAATTTTTCAATGACTTGCTAAAGAGCAGAAATATGTTCCCTACACCCTCTGCCCAGCATAAAGCTGCATTGCATTCCCCTATTTTGCTCATTGTCACTTCTCTCATCCTTTCAATCAGAATTCTGTCATGCACCTTTCCAAATATATGTCACCCTATTGTACAGGGGAGAAATAACAGTATTCTTGCAATCATCAGGCAGTCTTTACACTTAAACAAGTTGCACGGATACCCCATAAGCAAAACATTTCCATTTTTTTGACATTTTTACTTCATACACCTGCACTGTTACTATTTTTCAGCCCTCACAGCATTTATGACTTTCTTTTCATTCATTTTTTTCCTTGGATACTAATACTTACAACCATATGTTTTAATTCTACACTTCAACAAATAACTATTTGCATATAAATCTCTAAAAAACTCCTTCAGGTATTTTCTCACTTATTTCATCCCAAATCATTTTATCATTTCTATTTTTAATTCCATTCATTATGATGGAATTTCTTTACTAAACCCTTTTTAACTCTAAAACAATTTTTATTTGCATGAAAAAACAGTACTTTTGCTACCTCTTTTAATTATTTTTTACTCTCTAAATTCTTAGTACCCATAGTTTTCCTAAGCACTGACCGGCTAAGTCCTAGGTCTTGAATAAACTTTATTACTTTTTGTTAAATACTTTCCCTAATATCAAATAAAATCAAAATTATAAGTCTAATATGAAGCAAAGGCTATCAGTATCCATTGAAATTCAACTTGAGACTCTCATATCAGATTTTACCAAAGGCTTCAAGGAAGTATAATTTGAAGCTTACTGCAATACCCCTCTAAAGATTTTCATGGAAAAAAAATCCTCTTATAACTTTCTTATCAACCAAAAACTACCATTATCCATAAAAATCTTACCTGATCACATTAAATTTTAAAAGAACCCTCATAAATATTTCCCTGAAAAATGGTTCCAAGCCAAAATGATAACAGCAGTATGAAGGAAAAAAATAGCACTTGAACCTGATTTTTATAATGCTCATTTTAGCATGGACTTCAAAGAAGCCTGCAACTGTTTGTTAACCAGAATGAGCAGACTGAATAACATAAAACCTATGCTGAGGTTACTGTATTACTAATTGGTTTGCTTCCAAGTCCAATACAGAGTGATGGTTGTCACCTTTGAAGTCCTATATGGCTTAGTCCCTAAGTATCAAGAAGACTATCTACACTGCCCAGATTTGGTTGGTCTTTACTTTGCTGTCTCTGAAGAAAGGAAGGTGGAATGTTCCAATCACAGAGGAAGTGAAGAGGTGGGGAGTCAACAAAGTGGCTTCCCAGTGGCTGTCGGTACTCTTTGAAACATCCTACGCTCCAAGAGAAGGAATGTACCCAACTCACAGGCCTTCAAGGAAACTATAAACACCTTTTAATTCAGCTGATCATCTAGGTGATGATCATGCTTGAACTGCCTTAAGTTGGTTACTTTGTTTTCATTGGATTATAAACAGTCTTGGGCTCTCTCGAAAAATGGGTGCTCTATAAATAATTGTGTGCGTAAATACATGTTTGTTTGCATTTTTTTTAATGGATTGTACATTTGTATGGTTTTACTTTTTTAGAAAAGATTCATGAAAAGAAAATTTGACTGTACCTTCATTACAGGCTGGGCAAAATACTTAGCACTCCAATCACAAAACCCGGTCTGCATTGCTGCTGACATGAAATTTTTGGGACCCACAGTATCATCAGTATCATCAGTAATCTATTAAGGAGAAAAATATATGCGCTTTAGTTACGGAATCTACATGGCCTCTTTCTCAGATAAATTCAATTTATCATTAGTTGCAATACTAATAAAAATACTGTTTATGATAAANCCTTTCCTTGGAGTAGGGAGGAAATGGAGATTTTACAGTATCCTTCCCCTGCCACGCCCACCATGCCACCCCCACCAAGCCACCCCCAGAGAATTGGTAGTAAAAAAATTTGAATCCCACCACTGACCACAATGTTAAAGAATAAATATATTTATTAAGAAAGAAGAATAAGTGTAGCTCAGGGTTGAAACGAGGGGTCTTTGGTGCTCGCTGAGCTTTCTTGCAGATGTTTCATTGTCCAAACTAGGTAACCATCAGTGTGACTAGCTCAGAGAGCACCAAGGACTCCTCAAACAGGTTTACAGATGCTTTTTAGTATGTTTCTCTACATTTACATAAGAGTGTATTTCCAGTCACACTGTCTGATTTTCAAACAACAAATCTTGGAATCTGTTCTTAGACCTAACAACAACTTATGTAATTCCAAGTTCAGTTTTAAGTATTTTCAGAACTCCGGAGGTGGTGGTGGTGAAGGCAAGTTTGATTTAATGAACATGCTTGCAAGTATAAATTACAGGTCTACCCAGCAAAAAGGATGAATATTTTTCTTCTGATAAAAAGTTTGATTTGGTAGTCAATATATCATGACCTTATTGATTTCTGAATCAAGCTGATGATTTACAACCTTATCAGTCCCTGTGCAAAAAAAGGAAAACCTTGACAAAAATCCATTGGCCTCCTCTCCTTCAACACTTTTTTGACTGCTACATTTGCTACTACATAGCTGGCACGAAATAAGCTAAAACATTTGTCTATTGATATTTAACTTACATTTCAGCATTGTGTTAATGCAATTAATTAAAATTCCCAGAAGGCAGAAAAAGTCTTTATTTCTTCGTAAACCAAGTGGGTATTTGCAGGAGAGAGATAGAACAATGTGGATTAAAAGAATGTGGGTTTCTTGCATGTGAATTCATAGTTACATGAAAAATGACATAATTGAAAAGGATAGCATATGGTAATTTTCCTCCTTGATTGCCAAACCATACAGATCTTGTTTCATAGATTCAGTATTAAATTGCGATACATTTTAAAAACTATTTTATAGAACATTATTTTAAAAATGTGCCATTTCGGATACCATCATGGTCTGAGCAATATTTGTTGTATCTATTTAAATATATACATACATACATACATACATACATACATACATACATACATACATACATACATACATACGCCCCAGATTCAAAGAAGTCCTCATGACCATGTAGGCATGGCCATATAGCTTTGTTGGTAGCATGTGGAAGTCATTTGCTATTGTATCTTGGGGGATGCTATTTCAATGATCCAGTCTAACCAATAATTTTGGGATTTTCTAATAGCCAAGTACAAGTAATCCTCAACTTACGAATGTAATGGAGCCTGCCCATTACATTCATAATTTGAGGATTCGTAAGAGTGAATCATGTAACTTGAAAGTAACCACTCCCTCCTTTCGTCTACGCATTTGCTAATCAAATGCAGGGGCCGTTATGTGCATGAGGTATCTCAGTGCAAAGCCCACTTTTGCAGAGAATGGGTGCCTGAAGTCATGTGAAAAGCATTTGCAAGCTGACCAGTAGGCTGGAAGGGAAATCGTCCTGCTCTCCTCTCCCTCGAGTGGGAGAGTAAAGTGAATGTGGCAGTGCCTCTGGGGTCATTTGTAAGGGCAAAAGACTGCTATGCTACTGCAACATTTGTAATTTAGAGACTTTGTCATAAATGCTTGGGGGGGGGAGGCTTATCATATAACTTCAAATGGTCACTAAGTGACCTGCCATAACTTGTGGATTATCTGTACTAATCGGTTTGATTCTGCTTAACTTCTGAGTTTAAAGGAAGTCAGGCAAGTCTTGGAGTTGGCTTCATTCATTCTTATGAGAGGAAAATACAAGCTGGGTCACAAGGAAGCAGCCCTCCTTAAAGCATTTCCTATGTCTGTCTGTCAATCTGACTTGTCTGAAGAATATTCTAACTCCTACTTTTGGCCAATCAAGTGGCTGATATGTTTCAGCTAAAGCTGAACCCATGCCTCTGACTAGCCAGAAAGCAAAACAGGGAGTTGTAGGCACGGCCTTGTCAATGCCTCTTTCCATTCACCTCCCTCAGTTACAACAGTCTCAAGATGAAGCTCCTGATCCAAAAGAGGCTGACAGAGGGACTCATTCACAGGCTGCCATGTGACACTGGGTACAACTGCAGACGCACAATCACGATAAACAAAAGGTAAATATTTCCCATGTCCAGTTGTGTCCAACTCTAGGGGGCACTGCTCATCTCCATTTCTTAGCTGAGGGAGCCAGTGCTGTTCAAAGATCCTTTTTGTGGTCATGTGGTAAATATGACTCTATGCCAAAGGTACATGGAACACTGTTAACTTCCCACCAAAGTGGTACCTATTTATCTACCCACATTTGCATGCTTCTGAAGTGTTGGATCGGCAGGAGCTGGGGCAAAGAACAGGAGCTCACCCCATCGTGTGGCACTTGGATCTCAAACCCAGTCTGTCAGTTTTCCAGCTGACAAGGTCAGTGTGTTTTAACTGCTGAGCCATCACACCTCACTCATGATAAACAAAGAGTGTAAAAGAAACATCATTAGTGCACTGCTTGCTGAAAAAGAGAGGTGACATTTGACAAGGTGACATCTGACAAGGGAATGTGGTGAGGAGGCAAAATAACAAAATGAAGTTCAGGAGATGTGGGAGAACCGCGTTCCGAAAGTTATCTCTGTAGTTGTGGTTCTCTTTTTAAGTGTTAAAGAACAGACCAAAATAACCTGAAATGTTTGTTATTGCTTAGACAACACTAAATAAAGTATTTTATGTATTTGGGGAATCATCAATTTCTCATATAAAAGTATTCGCTTTTCAATCAAGTACAACACACAAGAACATATTGGAGACTGTGATCTCACTCTAAAGGGAAAAAATCAAGAATAATTAGGTATTAATTAGGAAAGAAAGAATTTCCAAACTGGCCCAAAGAGCAAGGCAAATACACATTTATCTGTACCATTTAAAAATTCTCAGCTTCTTTCAACGTGTCTCAAATGGCTTGAGTAACATAGTTACTAGGCAGCTCCTTTATGCATTTTTAGAGCATGTACAGTATTTTACAATGTAATTGTTTGGTAGTACAAACTGAGCTTGCTTACACACTTACCCCAGCCACCCCCATATATATCATTCAGGGGTGCTAAATAATATATATTCCTTTAGATAGGATTCAATTAATATTTATAAGATTGAAAAAGGCTGGTCAACCTGGCTCACTTTTAGCTGAACCTTGGTCCATCTGAAGACAACATGTGCTTAATTTCTTCAGTACAACTGAAAGAAGATTTCAGAGACAGAAAAGACTCAAAGGTTGAAACAAAACCGTCAAGATAGGAAGCATAACTGCATAATCTCATAGCAGAGCAAGGAATAGTGGAAAAACTAAATGTCCAAATATATTAACATTTCTTGGTTTCAGCAAATATAGCCAAGAACACAGTTCAGAATAGGACCAAAAAGAGAACAGTAGTTAAAAGAAAGACATTAAACAAGTGTGGTAATCTTGAAATGTGGTAGTGGGAATGAATGGGAAGAAAACTTACTTAAAATAATTTTGTTGATTTAAGCAGATATGGAAACAGTTCCATATTCTAAGTGTATCTAAGGAGATACACTTACAGGCTTCATAACGTAATCCTCTTCCTTCTCTACATTATACTGCTGGAAAAACCTCTCTATTTAACAATGTTGTAATTTAAGGAATTTAAAGCACTGCAGATATGGTTAAATCCCTGTTTTGTTAAGCACTCAAGTACTCACATAAAATACATATAGACAATGTGCACAAAAGCATGCATTTTGATTAGGAGTCTGGAGTGATTTAATAGATTAATAAGATACCACTCTGGTGAAAAGCTATTTTCAGAAAGCAGACAAATGCTTTTAATTATAATTGGGACTTTATATATTACCCATTTCAAATGTTAAAATAGCCACTATTACTCTATTTTTTTCTTTTAAAATACTAATTTTTGGATGTGGAAACAAATAGAAAATCTCAGTTTGTCCAAAAAGATTTTCAGGCATCCCAAATGCTTAAAGCTTGCAAACATCCCACATTACTAACATTTCCAAATGTTTCACTTGGTACGTACAATAGCTATTAGGAGAAAATTATTTATGTATGTTTTGTGACTGAAGTACCAACTATTTACTACTTAAGTCATTGCTTTGGTAATTAATATTAAAAATGGAAAATCAGGTTTGCAAATTGATTTATGAATTTATCACACTTATATGTCCCCCAATCTCACCAAAAGCATCTCCAGACAGCATACAACAACTAACAAAAAAATATAAAAATAATTATTATAAAAATATAAGTCATTATAAAAAATTAAAATATTTTTTTTAAATACTGCAGATTGTGTCATTATGAGACAAATGCCCTCTAGAGCCACAGTTGTTTCTTCATGCAATAATTATACACTCCAGTGCTTAGTAGTCATTGATTCTTCGTCTTTTTTCCTAGTCCCTCTCTGGCAAAGTTTGAGCCTGTAATATATGTTGGAGCATCAAATGTAAACTACATCATTTCTATTAACTGAAAATAAAGTGCTGCTGTGATAATCAATATAACAGCAAGATAAAGTTTAGTCTTCTAAAAATAATAGGCATGCATAGACAGACTGCTGAGAGGTCTTTATTTTACTTTTACAAAAGACTTCTCTCATAAATGACCTCCTGAAATATGGTCATTGCCTAAAAAGCTGAAGGGAATGGGATAGAAAGTTCATTTCCAAATGATGATGTAAATCCCAAAAGTGCCCAACAGCAAAGAGGCACCCTGGAATAAAAATGAATGAGTCAGATGATAAGCCATAGACAGAAATCCATTTATGCTGATCAACCTTTTATGTAACCTATTTATTATTTGTGGCAGTGGCAGCCATTCGCAAGAAAATATGCAACTGCTTTAAATAGTTGAACGTGGCTTTTACAGTCGTACTCCTGCATACCCTTCCCCAGATTGAATCCAAACCATTGCCATCAATGGAATATCAGTCTCTCAGAGATCAGAGGTGCCTTGCCCCTGCTGATATGGCAAGGTATCGAAAATTTGGTTTTGCAACCATGCCTGGGGCCCTGATAATTTGGGTCAACCTGTTTCTTGGTCTTGATTGGGTTAATCAGGTGCTATGTTATTTTATGTTATTCTAGTTGATTTTAAACTGTTTAAACTTGGTTTTTTTTACTATGTTTTTATTCTGCTTTTTTAGCTGTTAGCCACTGAGGGTCATGTACAGGTAATTTCTGCTTAGTGACTGACTTGTTTAGTGACCATTCATAGTTACAACAGTGATAAAAAGGAACTTTTATAACCAATCCGTGCCTTTGCACACATCTGGAAAGTCAAAGAAAGCTGAACTAACAGTCATGGTTTCATTCAGCAATGCTTTGTTTAGATATGGAGTTGCCAGAACCACTTGTAGTCACTCTTCAATGACTACCTCTATATGAAATAGGCAGCCATATAAATTTATGAAATAAATAACCTTAACAGATGTCTTATATTATCTTATCACCTGTTGCAACAATATCAGTAAAAATTATTCTATGCATCAGAAAAATATGGCGCACCCATTCTACAGAGCTATTGATCAGGGGTTATCCAATAAATTCCCTCATTTCCCTCATCGCTAACAAACTGGTACTCAACCCGGACAAGACCGAGTGGCTGTTGTGTTTCCCTCCCAACAATTTGGCTAATGTTCCAACACTTAGGCTGGGGGGTCAAATTTTATACCCCTCAGATAGGGTCCGCAACTTAGGAGTCCTCCTGGATCCACAGCTGACTTTTAACCATCAGTTGTCGGCTGTGACCAGGGGGGCATTTGCCCAGGTTCGCCTGGTCCGTCAGTTGCGGCCCTACCTGAACCGGGAGGCTCTCGCAACAGTCACTCGAGCCCTTGTGATCTCTAGGCTGGAATACTGCAATGGGCTCTACATGGGGTTGCCCTTGAAGTGCATCCGGCGACTGCAGTTAGTCCAGAATGCAGCCGCGTGAGTGATAGCGGGCGCACCGCGGTTCGCCCACATTACACCCATCCTCCGCGAGCTGCACTGGCTACCTGTCGATCTCCGGGTGCGCTTCAGGGTATTGATGACCACCTTTAAAGCCCTCCATGGTAGTGGATCTGGCTATTTGAGAGACCGCCTTCTGCCGATTACCTTCCTTTGACCGATCAGATCGCACAGACTGGGCCTCCTCCACACCCCATCTGCCAGTCAATGTCGACTG